TCAACGCCCACGCCGGAGAAGACGCGCCACGCAGCTCCTCGCCGCGGGCTCTCAATAAAAAATGGATGACTTCCGGCTACTTTGACGCCTCTGTCGCTTTCGGTGTGAACGATGTGACCGCAGCTTCATGCAGTGGGTATATGCCGAAGCATGCTAATAGGACTTTTAATTTGCCAGTGACCTGGGTTAAGCGCTTCCGGCGAATTAAATGCCAATGGAAAATCCGGTGAGTTTAAGGTCTGTTTTCTTTAAAAATCAGCGATATCCACTGGCTGAGTGATATCCGATTTAAAGTGGGTCTCAGATTGTACAAGAAGCACTGCATTAAATTACATTTTCCCCCGCCATATCTTTATAATATGAACATTTATTTTACCCCAGTATATTCAATGGAGTTTCTGCGTTAGCCTGCCGATTCTGACGGGTGCGTGCGAGTAAACAGCTTTTTGTCTCGTTTTGCGCTTGAGTTTATTGAACAAAGTTTATTGAACTGAATGTATTTTAATGACATTACAGCATCGATGTTGTATAAGGAACCGTATAAAATGGAAAAAAAGTTCACAATAACAGGTCACCGGAAGTGTATCAGCATGAGAACAGCACTAGCTCGGCATATACCCTGTTGCTCTGGGCGGGGGAAATTAATAATACATTTCATTTTGCAACGTCTTGCGATGAGGTAATCACACCGTTTTAAATCACAGTTGCGATACGATTAATCTCACAGACCTCCATGTTAATATCAGTTTTATATCTTCTAAACATGAATCGTCATGTCTGTTTTGGAGTGTACTGGCTTATCAATATCCTAAAAACCTACAATGGTGTTACGAACATCTAAAAAACTTTAATTTCACGGGAGCTTTAAAATAAATATTTTTTGACATACACACATAACATCTCGACTCTGATCATTAGAAACTTTATTGAATTAAAAGTGTTGACAGCATTTGAGCGATCTCAGCAGTGTAGCACACACACCTTCAGCTCAACCTGCGACCAAATTCATCCGCGTAACACTTAGGAGACTCATACTGATTATTGACACGTGAACAGAAACCCAAAAATCGCAATATACAAACGTTTACACACACTCTCGCACACACATCATCATCATCATCATCATCATCGACCCCTTTGGAAAAATTCAGCATCCAGAAATGAAAGAATGTGTACCGAACACAACGAGAATGGAACCCATGCAAGCTTCAGACGCCCTCCTGCACCGCCGCGCTAAAGGAGATTCAAGTCAGGGATCAAAGGCGGCGCTTACAGCATCAAAGTGGGTAGAAACTACTGAAACGTCCCAGCATTCCTGGCGCCTCACCATCCAGGGTATGTGTGTGTGTGGGGGGGGAAACAAAATAAGTCTAGGTGCCCACAATGCTGGGGTCGTGTGCTGAGTCCGGCAGTGGAGAATCGTGGCAGTGATACAGAAAGCAGTTTCCCCAGCAGCTGTAGCAGATGAGAAACAGCGCCGCCAGGAAGACTAAGGCACAAATGGTGCACGGCTTCCTCTCCAACAGGAAGCTGAGCAGGTAGAAGCCCATGAACATGGAGTGGTTGAACCACAGGGCCGGATTTAAGGGTTTGGGGATCAAGAGGACCGGGAGGAGCCACTGGAGGCAGTACATGGTCTCTGCGAAAGCGGGACGCTTTGTATGAGCTCAGATATATCCGATGTGACGCTACTACAACACAAATCCCTTGTGTGTCTGTGAGGGATTAGACGTGCTATCCAAATACGAGACCAGGCCTTTTGGAAAAGGAGAGAGAGAGAAAACATTTTAATACACACAATTCACTGCTCGACTTGCATTACCTTATAAGGCACCGAGGTCAATGCATCAGGGTGTATTTTAAGAGATTATGAGGCCAGAGGGTATTTTTAGATGCTGGCCTTGAGTTACATATGAACAGTCTGACTAATATGTAAACACGATTATAGTATTGTTAATGCCGTACGTGGCTAGATATTCTCCTTAAACAGTCAATTGCTCAACAAATGATTTAATTACATTTAAATATTTAAGGGTTTACTAAACTTAAATAGACAAACTAGTTTAAAAAATAAAAATATATTTACTTTGCATTTATTAAGTTTACCTAGTGAGACTATAGTTTTAAGCTCATAACAAAAATCCCTACATTGAGATTAGCATTTAATTTAACAAGAGATAACGTACAAAAAATAATCGACAATAAACGTTAGGAAATATATTTAAATTATGTTGTTATTGTGGCGTTACAATTCATTATAAACATTTAAAATGTTTCACTTCCTTTATTTAAGTTGAATAGTTCGAGCAACCCTAAAACAATTTAAATGCAAAGCTAAAGGAAATTCAGCTTTCATTCCTTACTCTGTTTACACGAAGGATCGACAATAAACAACACAAAAGCAAGAAATCTGGCGTTTAGTATAGCATTACTGTTAAATGTTAGACTGATCTAGTATTTCATGAACGTATGTGATCTATACCGTAAATATACGAACAATAAAAACATTGTGACGTTAGCGTGTTGGCTAACCGGATATCTAGCATGCGTTAGCTTGAGGCTAGGTGTTAGCGCAAAAATAAACCGTCCGCCCACACATGTAAACATATATGACGGTGGTAATCTTAACTAAGCAAATCTTAAAACTCAATAAGAGTGAAATGATCATGTTCAGACCTGCCATTCTTCAAATTCAATCCTGATCTCGCATTTAAGCCTTCGCCATTGAGTTCAGCTCTTTGGGTGATTGCGTAGATTTGTGCCACTCCAAGGACCCAAATGACGGCGTGGTGTGTCCTGCAGATGCCTGGTTAAAATTAATGTATTTCTCTAAAATATCTCAAAAAGTGTCACATTTTTTTCGGTTTCTTTATTACATTTACCTATGCTCTTTTACTAAATGATTGTATTTGTATTAGACCGTTCGATAATGATCCTTACGAATTATATTAATATTATTAATGCTTATGTTTTGTCAAATATTATACTACAAATTAATTAACCATGGTACCTTATGTATCTGCCTTGCCCATCATATCTACTTACTAAATATAACATATGATGGTTGTCATTAATTTAGTTGTAATATGTAGTTATATTACAACATTTAGTTGTAATATAACTGCAAGGTTGAGAAAAAAAGGTGTATCTTGGTTAACAATGCAAACTATGCCTAATGTGTTTTGCTGACATATATGCCTACACACTCGTGCACTTAGTCCACCATCTGGCTTTTAGTGCTTATGAAGCATCAATTTGTGCTTCCCACACAATTCAGACTGAACTAATCAGAAATCCTTTGAGAAGTGTATTATAACACATATTCAAGAGAATTAATTGTTTAGCTGGTTAGCAAATTATGGCTAATGTGTTGCTGTATATATTTGAGCTATTAAAACACACATTTCTTAGGGCTAAGGTCAGAAGAAAGAAAGCACAGCTAGTTTTTAAAGATAGATTTGTTTTTATCTATTAAGATCTGATAACGTTTTATTATGGAGTCAGATCAGTCTCAAAAACATACTACAATTACAAAATAAAATTCATACACATACAGCACAATTCACAATTCACAAAACCAAAACGCATTTCTTAAAGACAAAATGCAATATGGTTTCTTCCCATACTGCTAAACTTCCGGTGAAAGCTTAATGTGACTTTTTTTAAATGTATATGGTTGCTTTTACAGCATCGATGTTGTAATGTAATTAAAACATAGTTAAATAGACTTAAGCATTCATTTAGTTGTTCAAGTGTAAAATGAGATGAAAAGCTGTTTACACACATGCGCAGGATCAGGATTAGCAGGCTAGCGCAGAAGCTTTATTGTACTGTATATACTGGGGTAAAATAAATGTTCATATTTTAAAGACATGGCGGGGAAAATTAATACAGTGCTTCGTACATTCTAAGACCCGCTTAATATCTTATATCACTCAGCCAGTGACAATCGTTGATTTTTAAAGTAAACAAACGCGGAAATGTTGTAACAGCATACAGTTCACTGCAATCGCTTGACCCGGTAAAGTTTAGATTGGATACACAGCCGACTGGAAGTGCGATATGCACATCAATATAGCAGAATTGTTTATGACACTGTATAACAATAATTGGTATTTTTTACAGTAGCCTACTGTGATGGTTGGGTTTAGGGTTGGGGTGGGGATAGGCGTTTAATACAATTTATTTGGTTATTTAATCGATAGCATAAATTATACTCGGTACATCTACTGTTTTTACATTATGGTGATGGTTGGGTTTAAGGTTGGGGTAGGGGGTAGACGTTAACAAAATACAATAAAAGGGAAATTTAATGAATAATATAAATAATTCTCATTAACTTCTCGCCGCAACCATGTCCGATCTAGCAACAACTGCTTGACCCAGGTTACTGAAAAATTAAAAGTCCTTCAGCATACTTTAGCATATATCGTATTTGTGAATTTACAAGTAAAAGGCGCAAATGCCCGAATGAATAGAAATTTGTACATTTATGAACTGTTTGAATTTACAAATTGTGTTTTGTGTATTTATGAATTGTTTTTGAATTTACAAATTGGATTTTATAAATGTCAATTGTGCTGTGCATGTGTGAATTTTATTTTGTGAACATTATTTTTGAGACTGATCTGACTCCATATTTTATGCAGTTTTAAAAATAAGACAATATCTATCTATCTATCTATCTATCTATCTATCTATCTATCTATCTATCTATCTATCTATCTATCTATCTATCTATCTATCTATCTATCTATCTATCTATCTATCTATCTATCTAAATTAGCTTTGAATCATATATATATATATATATATATATATATATATATATATATATATATATATATATATATATATATATATTACATTATGTTCATATAAAACTTGACTACTTTAGCAAATAAATTAATATATTAACAAAATAAAACCCACACAATACAAAGCAATGCACCTGACAGAATGAAATATTGTTTTAATTTTCAATATTTAATTAAAATCCCCAACTCCAGCACATCTCTGCTCGAGGACACTACCACAGTGCATGATAAAGGTGCACTCCATAACCAACCCGTACATAAACAATGCAAAATATACATCGCCAGGCAGCGGATGATGAATAATCTGACATCTTGTCGCATTTGTGTTGAATGCTGAAAAAATGATAGTGTTTCCATCGCGCATGGCTAAATCTCCCTCGAGATCTCCGTGGAAAGGTCTTCCTGTCAGCATCACACCGTTACTATGAGATCTGTGGAGCGATCCCGCGTCAAGGTAGGTACGCGTTTTCTTTCCAAAAAACGTTGAAATAACCGAATAACAAAGGTGGTAAAGGCTAGTTCGCGTGCTACGTTTGGGTTTTTGTTGCACGGCTTTTAAATATTCGTGGAAAACAAAATACTTGCGGTATTACAAGGTCATATCTTATTGAACTACCATCGGATAAAACGTGTTATTGACAACGTACATTGGCGAATTACAGTCGATATTCTGCTCTAGCTGTTATCGCTGTCGGTTTTAAGCGTTTGTAAGGGTGTAAAGTCAGGTAAAATGGGCCACTGTGATCATGAAGGTAAACCGTAAACGTTAGAGCAGAATGAACATCTCTGCGTATCGCCCACATTGCTGTTTCTGTGTTTTGTTTAGCTTTTTCTTATTTATACGTCGCAATAACAGTGTTTTTGCTAATGAGCTGTTTGAATGGTCTCCATCCTCGTCAAGAATCACTGTTCAGGTAAAACATGTCATTTAACAAAGAAACAAGCGCTATTGTAACTTACACCAGATTTTTCTACCCTTACATTCATTTTAATTGAATAGGTAGGCATTACAAGACATGGTAAATGTGCTAATATTGCGAGAACATTAATATTCATTCATTAATTCAGTTGTTCAGTCATTCATGAATTCATTTTCCTTCGACTTAGTCCCTTTACTCATTAAGGGTAGCCACAGCGGAATGAACCGCCAACTTATCCAGCATATGTTTTACACAGCGGATGGCCTTTTTGGTGCAACCCAGTACTGGGAAACATCCATACACATACACTACGACCTAGCGCATGTCTTTGGACTGTGGAGGAAACCTGAGCACATGGAGGAAACCCACGCCAACATGGGGAGAACATGCCAACTAACCCAGCCAGGGCTCGAACCAGCGACCGTCTTGCTGTGAGGCAACAGTGCTAACCACTGAGCCGCAGTTTCGCTGAATTTTTTTTTAATATATAATAATACTAAAAATTTAATTTTCACCAAAATACAGAAACTGTTTCTAAGTTTTTTTTTCTGTAAGCAAGTATTTTAGAGGACTTTAGAGATCCTCAAAAATGTCTCTGTCAGTTTTTTCAAACTATTATATTTAATTTACCAAAGTCACACAAGCGCCAATTTCACATTTGTCACATCCATAACAGAAAGGCCTCACATCAATAACAACGCTTTTTCCTCATAAATGCAAAAATCTTTAAAAAAACAAACAAAAAAAAAAACAATCATTTTTGTTCTATAGTGAGCAACTCTTATCCTTTTGATTAGCATTATTTATTTTGGGTTGTGTCGACTTTTTTTGGTTGAATCCATAACCCATGTTTACTTTCCTAATTTAAAGTACAAAGTATGTTTACAGATAGATATTTATGTGGTCCCTTAACTCTGTGGTTAGTTCTTCTGGAAAATTTAAACAGATGTTTCAATATAATGTTAACATATACTTTAACTGTGAATTTATAAGTTGAGTTTTTACTGCAAATGTCACATCCATAACACTGTAATTGCTCATATATATATATATATACTATCGATTTATGGGATAATATATATATATATATATATATATATATATATATATATATATATATATATATATATATATATATATATATATATATATATACACACACACACACAAAAGAAGATATTTTGAAAAATGTTGGAAACCTGTAACCATTGACTTCCATAGTATTTTTTTCTATTATAAAAAAAATCAATAGTTACAGGTTTTCAGCTTTTTTCCCCAAAATATCTTAATTTTGGAACCACTTGAGGGTGAGTAGATTTGAATTTTGGGGTCCCTTTAAAGACAATAACAGTGTTTTTTACAAAGCAAAAGTGTAGAAATCATGTTTTTCCTTTTTGTGTTTTTAAAAATACCATGGTTAAACTCTGCTTAGTGAAGCAAAGCCATTAATTTATAGCAACTTTAATATCCATTTTTTTTATTTGTTGGAAAAAAAAGTTAATTTTGCACAAAAGTAATAAATATAAAGGGATATAATACTGACAATATAAAGAATGTTAGTGTGGCATTCATTACATCATGGCTTTGTTTTAAGGAACTGTCCATTTGAAAGATTTTTGTATATTATTTTAAACATTACACAGTTGATTGAGGAGAAGTGGATGTACAGTAGCCTAAACATAATTTGCTTTATTGCCAATTTATCCCCATTCCTTAAGCCCCCTTATTATTGTGACAGTCATGTTAAATAGCTTGCAGTAGTTTCATTTTAAATAATACCATCATTCCACAACTATCCTGCAAATCTGATATCTGAATACTTTAACTGTAAACACACTTAAAAGAGCTTAAGATCATCACAGTTTTCATGGTAAGCATGTACACCTACACACATACTGTATGGATGCACTATCCTCCGGAGCTAACATCCTTTTCTCAAGGACACAGTGTTGATCGTGTCCGCTCTTAAATTAGAATCGTAACCTTTTGGTAACAAGCTCATGTTTTACATGAGACATGAAAATTAAATATAAATTTCTTAAGCAGGGCGACACTGTGGCTCAGTGGTTAGAACTGTGGCCTTGGCTATGTCAGTTGGCATTTCTGTGTGAAGTTTGCTTGTTCTCCCTGTGTTGATGTGGGTTCATTCCACTGTGGTGACCCCTGATAAATAAAGGGACTAAGCCAAAGGGAAATGAATGAATGAATTCATAAACAGTGCAGATACCTACTTCTGTATGGAAGCATACGAGTAGCATAATTCAATTCAAAATGTAATATGCAAAATGGCAATGCAATATGTTAAATGGCAATGTATTTCTGTATTTGAATTTGCATTTTCCAAGACATATGAGCAATGTTTGGTGCAGAATGAAAATGTAAATGAAATTACATTGTTTGCATTTCTCATTTCAAACACTGTTTTAATATGTAAATTGTATCCATATTTTAAAGCTTTTTAAGTAGCAAAACTAAATTGAAAATGTTATACACAAACTGAATTTGATGTAAATAAAGTACAAGCAGAAACTGTAGCAAAATGATAATTTAAATGTTATTTGTCCTAAATGCATTTACGCTCGCGTCTAGGAAACGCAAAATGTGTGTAGCAAAATTAATTTTGAAATGTAATACGCAAAACGATAATGCAATATGTAAAAGGCAGTGTATTTCTGCATTTCAGTTAGCATTTTCCAAGACATATGTGCAATGTTTGCTGCAGAATGAAAATGAAAATAACATAATGCATTTTCATTTAACACATCGCGACGAATGAAAGCCAATTTGAAATTGAAAATGCATTCTGGCCTGGCCACGCCCACAGACGGCCACCGTTGCTGCAAGGCAGGTTTTAGGTTATGTCGTCACAGCTGCCACGAGGACTATTTGGGACATTTGGCAGCATAAACATGGCGAAGTCTGTTCCTCAGCGGCTTCGTGAAGCTGCACAAGCCCTCGAGCTTGAACTGGGAAATACTTTAGAAAACCAATCACCTCCTAGCTCAGAAAAGTTGGCTTAAGGTTTGATATTCGCGCACGGAGTTTTAGGGATCATCTGCAAATTACATCGACATAAACAGTTAGCTTAAAATCAGAAAGTAATCTAAATATTTTGCTCTTAAAAAGTGGTTAAAAACAAAACAGCAGTGTTTGCACAAATAGTCTACTGTTAGTTGGTTGGATCATGTCGCCTTTGCTTTTGCCTGCAGTAATTGTATGTAAAGAATTGTAATGTTGTGTATGTTTCTATTATATTTGCATTTTGTCGATTTTTGAGCCTCCTGTGGACAGGTGTTGAGAATAAGCAAGTTTGCTAAAACACTTAAACAAATGCATTTGGTTGTCCAGCGTAACTGTGATGTCCATGTCAAATAAAAAAAAAAAATAAATGAAGTGTGGAATGATGGACAATTACGCACTCAACAGCCGCAGCTTTGCTCACATAGCGGAAGGGTCGGAGCTATCAGACATGTTGGATAACTTTTTTATTTTGGATTATGAAAGCAAAATTTAGAATTTCCGCTTAGTAAAAAAACATTTGTGCTCCATTTGAGACGACACTACATTCATATACTATGCTGTTGAGTGTGTAAGTGCATATGTGCGTGAGTGCATAGTGTATAGTGTGCCATTTGGGACGCAGCAAATGTAAAAAGGTTCAGTATTGAAGACACCTGGTGCCACATTCTAATCAGCTAATTAACTCAGACACCTGCAAAGGCTTTTAAATGGCTCTCAGTCTAGGGCTGTTTCTTAATATCAAGAACGCAGAGAACGGACTTGTGTTCTTGTGGAGACCGATCTTGCCAGGTGTCCTCAGAAGAACGAACTCAGGAGACCGCGAGGGCAGGGAACGAGTTCTTTGAGAATTGAGATGCTGCGTTCTTCCTGATGGTCACATGACCTTCACATGGTTTTAATGGTAAATTATTTAAACAATACAGCCTTCATACAACAATTTATTGTTATTCCCCTTTTCAAAATATGTACTTTGCATAAAAACATTATAAATAAATGTTGCACAATATAAATTAAACTGATTTTAATACGAATTTCAGCAAACAAACACCCTTAATGTGTTTATTCCTTAATTAAGATATTCATGGTAATGTTTACTTTCACCATTTCATTTAGAGAAACTCCTGAGGGAAATAAGTCATATCTCTGAACTTTGATAATAAATCTAAATAAAATGCAGCGCTTCCCACCTCCAGTCGCAATGACTTCTGGGACTTCCAGAGCGAGTTCGGTGCTCAAGTTTGCATCGGTGCGTCCTCGATATCAAGATCACATCTGGGAAGTTTCCTCCATACTTGCGGTCTTGAGTATTGGAACTGAACTTAGGCAGCTGATGATGAAGTTACACGATAACACGAGGACGCAAGACCGCTGAAGAACGCATATTGAGAAACAGTGTAGGTGTTCAGGCTACACAATTATTGTACACAATTATGGGGAACACGGCTGATTTGACAGTTGTCCAAAAGACCACCATTTACACCATGCAGGAGGGCAAGACAAGTGCATAAATTCTACTCATATGACCTGTAGTATCAATACCGAGGTATTACATTCTGGTATCGTATGGACCCTTTTCACAAGACTGTTATGACACATTTACACGATCATCAAAATCTGAAATCCTTGAAAGTTTTTAATATTTATATTTTTTTTAAAAACGGATGAATATTTATATGCATTTATGAATGTGTTATATCATCTGTGCGTTAAGTTACAAAAAACGAATTACTGCTTGTGAGAGATGTTTCTAATGCAGAGTCTATGGGGCTGAGAGTAAATTTGACATTTTTCTCTCCTCTGGCAGTCGTCATCAATCTCACACAATTTTTTTCTCCTTTTTCTGTAAGTCTTGATAACACCATCATGGAGTTTTTCTTTTATTATTTTAGCAAATAGGATTGTAGAAATGTATTTGTTGTATTCTCTTATTTACTGCATTCTCCCAACTATGACGACTTCTGCTGCAGAGAAACCAGGAAATGTGAAAAGGGTCTATTGAATCCAAAATTATAGTATCGAGCCATCCCTACTACCGTGTTTTATTTTATTAGACATTTTCTGCGATATTATCTACAGTAAAAAAAAAATTGTGATGATGACTAGAATGGACTTTGGAATTTAAATGTTGTGATTTGGTGTTTCTTAAATATTATGCTCTGTTGTTCAATCATAAAATAAGTCGTACTGTCTTTTAAAGGTAAAACAAGAGGCATTTGATTCAACATGAGTGCCTGGACTCAGTGTGGATGGAGTCTCTGAATGCCGTGGAGCTCCGTGAACTGGGGGAACGTCCTCAGGCCTCCTCAGGACCACGGCCATCAACAGGCATCGAAAATGCATCATTCGAGGATGAGGATCCGGGATCAAGGATCCGCGTTACCTCCAGAGCATCTGGACCTAGCTTCACATCCATTGACTCCCAATCAAATCCGCTGCCTATACAGAGAGAAGTGCCATCGCCGCGCTCTGAAGACGAACCCGAGCTCGAGTATAACGACCATTCAGTGGACTACGGGTTCATTTTCGCACTTGTTTTCCTGGTGAGTGGGATCATATTAGTGGTAATCGCCTACACCATCCCAAGAGAGGCAAAAGTCAACCCGGACCAAGTGACAGCGCGTCAGATGGAGAAACTGGAGATGTACTACGCACAACTCGGTTCTCATCTTGACAAATGCATTATTGCAGGACTGGGTTTGCTCACTCTGGGAGGAATGCTGTTATCTGTTTTATTAATGGTGTCTATATGCAAAGGAGAACTGTATCGGAGGAGGACTTTCGCTAGAAGACCCATGAAATCATACGGATCCATTAACATGAGGATGAGGCAGTTGGCTGAAGGTGACGGGAGGGACACTCTTGTGGAATGTGAACCGAACACCACCGCCGATGCGGCCAACGGTAATCAGGTTCCTGCAGGAACGCTAAACACGTAGCACAACCAAATCACACTGAAGAGTTACAGTTCCTAAAGGAAAAAGTACATGCAAGGCAGCAGCATGATGTTTTTGGTCAATTTTATATTTTGGGTTTTGAATTAAATTGCTTTAAGTTCAAGGTTGCTGTCATCAATACATTCTGTGTGTTGCCAGATGTCAGTAAAATCAATTATAAAAAACTACGAAAAGAAGCCAACAAGAACAAACAAAAAAATAAACAAATATACAACTTTATCCATTTACAATATGCAAATGATAATAATTAAATCTGAATATTTCATAGTTTAATTGCATATAGAAAACCAAAATATGAATGAATGTTTTGGTAAATTTAAGATTTTGGCTTTTAAATAAATTTTAAGGTTGATGACACCGTTATGTTTTGCTGTATTGCCAGATCTCAGTAAAATCAATCAAAACTATGAAAAGAAGCCAAAGAAATCAAATAAACTAACAAATATACAACTTTGTTTACTAACAATATGCAAATGATAATAATTAAATCTGAATAAGGAAAATAAAAGAATTTCCTAATTTAATTGCAAATAAAAAATCTGAATATTCCATAATTTTGTATAATAAGTGGAAATGGCAATGCTGATCAATGCATGAGGCAGTTGGATGGTTAAATAGTAAAAAAAAACAAACATGGTGCTAATTTGATATGCAATTAAGCAAAAGAAAAATCTTTTAAGTTTTTGTTGCAAAACATACAGTTGAAGTCAGTATTATTAGCCCCCCCTGAATTAAGTTTGGGTAATTTGGCAAGGTTAGGGTATTTAGGCAAGTTATTGTATAACGATGGTTTGTTCTGTAGACAGTCGAAAAAAATAGCTTAAAGGGGCTAATAATTTTGACCTTAAAAGAGTTTTTATAAAATTAAAAACCACTTTTATTCTTGCAGAAATAAAACAAATAAGACTTTTTCCAGAAGAAAAAATATTATCAGACATACTGTGAAAATTTCCTTGCTTTGTTAAACATCATTTGTAAAATATTTGAAAAAGAAAAAGAAATTCAAAGGGGGGCTAATAATTCTGACTTCAACTGTATATATATGACATTTCTATCAACCAAACTAGAAAGGCTAAGGCCGAAATCATCAACTAAACAAACAAACAAACAACAATACACTAAGACATGGAAAAATCTGTAAAGACAACAAATATATAAAGCAACATGATTTGACTTACTATAATTAATTGGACTTCTGGTTTGGCGCACAAATGAATGCCTTACCTATAGTAATCTTGAACATTTTAATCCTTCTTAAACAGGCTTTGTTTTCTTTGTGCCAAAAAATTATTAAAATTTTATTTTACTTAAGTTCATGAAATGTGCAACTTTCATACATGATAACTTATTAAAGGGTAACTATTATGCCCCTTTTAACAAGACGCAAAATAAGTCGCTAATATATATAAAGTTTCAGCTCAAAAAAACCCCAAATAATGTTTTATATCTCTTTGAAATTGCCCCGTATACTCTTTGACCCTAGTTGTGCCATTTTGGTGACTGATGCTTTAAATTAAAATGAGATCTTTTCAAAAGAGGGCGGGGCTTTAAATGCCTATGTGTCAGCATAGTGGCAGATTCAAAAACAAGACAACGTCCTAAGATAACGAGGGAGAGATTGTCACTAATGGGCGGGGCTTTCTCCCTCTGATGACACGTGCAAAGGGAGAATGTCAATCAAAGCGTTTCTGCATAATAGGTCCCCTTTAATGCTGCCTTGCATGTACTGTTATCATTTCAGCCAAGTTCCTGGCAAACACTCTTAAAACACCGAATGTGATGATGCAAAAAGAAATGGTAACTCCTTAAAAGACAACAGAATGAAAGCACAATGGTGAAGTGTCATAATAATTCAACATGCTGCAGAACAAACCGCCATCAGCTACTCGACAAAACTTGAAATAAATGTCTGTATAACCTACAACTGCTACACTTAAGACACTATGAGTGGAATATATACAAGCTATTATTATCCAAGGATGCAATATGCCTTAAGATGTTACTAATGTTCACCGTGAACACATTTAGGCTTGTTTGTATTTGTATACTGTTGGTGTTTTTGTATATGTGTAACACACACTTACTCGTTGTCGTCAGCCCACGTTCTTGGAGTAGAAGACAATGTACTGCAACCAAGGGAATAGACATATGAATGCTAAATGTTTTAAACGAAATATCTATTTTACAATATCTATCAGGATGGTAATTTAGTAGATTTGTGCTAACAAAAATGTGAAGTTTTACTGTAATGGTGCAATGCGCATTAGGTTAAAGTAGAAACATATATATTACAATATAAACGTTCGGGTTACAAAGCTGTCGTCTTCTCGTTAACACAACAGATATAGGCTACTGTATGCTTTAAGAATAAGCTCATTGCTAGGGGGATATTGACAAAAATATGAAATTGCAATATTTTTTCGTAAATTACAATAATTATATTGTGTGTTTTTGTGTGCTGTCTGTGATTAAGCACTAAACCACCAGTATGTGACAGCAGATCCCTCCCAGCAAACACTTTTGTGTCTAAACAGACATCTAAGAATAACCCAAAACTACACTAGTCGTCAAGTAGACAGATTAGACAAGCAGTATATGTGTAGGTATTTATTTCTGTTTATTTGATGACTAGTCTAGTTTTGACCTTAAACGTCTTTTTTGATCTCGTCTATTAGATTTTCACTAACAGCCCAAATTTAGCCTTGTTTAGGCCCAGACAGCTATTTTAAGATATCTATTAGACATCTTTTAAAGACAAAAAGTGCTTGCTGGGCTGAGTCAATAGCCACTTTCATGATATCGTGAGACCGGAAAATGTCCGGAACGACTTTACCGGTAAATTCATAAAAGCACTGTTCAAAAACGCAAAGATGTTCCGGAATTTTTCTGGAAATGCCGTTCACACATTCATTCCAAGATACCGGTAAATTCTGACTAAGAAGGAACATAGAAACGTTTTCTGACTTACATCTAGCAGCTAAATAGGTCTGAAAAATATTCAAAGGCTTTTATTTTCATAAACAGCGCGGATGTGATTAGCAATTTTTACCTTCTGCGTTCACACAGAGCAGCATTCCGGCAAATTACCGGTAATGTTACAACTTTTATTTTCGGAAAATTGCTTGAAAGAATTTACCGGTATTTTCTAAAAAAGTCTGTATGTGTGAAAGGGTGTAATGAACCATTCATTCAAATGATTCATTCAAAACGACGATTCTATTAGACATCTTATAAAAACAAAAAGTGCTTGCTGGGTTGAGTTCAGTAGCCACTTTCATGATAACCGTGATACCAGAAAATGTCCAGAACAACTTTACCGGTAAATTAAGAAAAACACCGTTCACACAGGCAAGAATGTTCCGGAATTTTCACACGTGATCCCTTTCCAAAAATTTGCCAGTAATTTTTCAAAAAGGTCTGTACGTGTGAAAGGGTCTAATGAAGCATTCATTCAAATGATTCATTCAAAACGACTGATTCATTTAGAAATGCAGCAATTTGCTTTTTATGCCTGAAATCAATTAATGAGCAAAACTATTTTGTTGATATTCTGTAATGCACTGTATGAAGGACGCTTTACTGTGTTACAAAATGAAGTGGCTAAATGTGACATGTTTATTCATACTACCTAGATAAGCACAATATTATCAGAATGTTCAGTAAATTGCCCATTAATGGGTCTGACAGAGATGGGAAAATTCTACTTGCCCCGTAATTTTTTTTTTATTTAGTAATAAAATATAAAAACATTAAGTTATTTCTGTTTTTAACATTAATTAGTGTCATAAAGTCAAAGGCTAGTTTGATCTAATGGTCAAAAGCTTCCGTTTATGATCATAAAAACACAAACGTAACGCTTGTAAATGAACACTTTCCAAAAAAAAAAAAAAAAAACACACAAAAGAAGAAAGGTATCGTTGTAAGCATCGGCCAAAATGGGTTTAATACTGCCTTATTTGATACCTGTGAAAATCCAATATTTATATATTGCAGCATAAATATTTTACAGCATAAATATTACTGTCCATATTCATAATATAGGACATACATTTTATCCTTTGTTTAGCAAATTCAAATCCATTTATTATGCGATTTCAGATGCACACTTTGTGAATGATTCATTGAATCACTGACTCAAATGTTTTGTTCGAAAACTGATGTGAACACTGCAGTGTTTCTGCTTTTTGTTCTACTTTGCTTGTACGAAATCAACATCACATTTGCGATCACTCACATGCTGATATTCAGGAAAACGGCACTTTTAGGATATAAAACAAACCCACACAGGGATATTTGTGCTTTCAAAACTTGAATTATTCTGTCATTTCTAATATATCTTCATGACACATCTAAAGAGTGCTTTGATATGTTGAGTGACATATTCAATTACTGCAGCTCGCACATCATTAAACACGTATGATATTATCGTAGACCAGGAGTGTCCAAACTCGGTCCTGGTGGGCCAGTGTCCTGCATAGTTTAGCTCCAACTTCCTTTAACATCCCTTCCTGGAGGTTTCTAGTATATATAGGAAGAGCTTGATTAGCTGGATTAGGTTTGTTAAATTGGGGTTGGAATTAAAATATGCAGGACACCGGGCCTCCAGGACTAAGTTTGGACACCCCCGTCGTAAACAATAAATATTGTAGACTATTCATTCCCTCATTTATAGTTGTGATAGCACATAAGCAGAGGTTGATATTTGTCATTCAGCTTTTCCGGATCTTATAGGAATCTGCCTGAACCTTGGTCCCTTTGGTTCAGCTTTCCTGCTGAGTTTTCACTATTTTCTAAAAGCACAGCGTTCAAAAGCAAGACCGTAATCAAAACGAAGCAGAAATCTAATAAGAGCAGATGTATTACACATCTTAGGTGTAGTAAAGATTGCCCTGGCCTGCAATCTCACATGTCCCGGGTGTCCAAAATACAGTACATATCCAGTGTATCTGCAGAAAGCTTTATAATGGCAACTGGTAACTGATATATAGACAAATCACATTGCATTAGTAGAGTCGCAAAAGTGCACTTGATTAACATCATTTTAAGATGTAGAATGCATTAGGAGTGCTTTTTGCTATTTATATAAATGTTGACTCAAATCTTAAAAAAACGAAAACACAAGCAAAGAGTTTTATCATTATTACACTAAATCCAATGGTTAATTGGAGCACATTGGGAATAGAGTTACTTACGGCTCGTTCACACCAAGCACGATAACTATAAACATAACAATGAAAACATTGCTGTGGATTTTATCTTTCAGAACGTTTTTCTCTGCTTGATATAACACTGATAGCTAGTCAGAATCCATAGGGATATAAAAGGATCGCGCAATTTAAAGCTACAGACGACATTGTGGAGAAGAACTGATGTTAAGCCCTCTTTTCAAAGATAATGACTATCTTGAAAACAATTGGTTATACAATGGGAGCGAATAATACAAATTTACATTGAAGCTATGCAAGCCAGGCTAGCAAATTGAAGTATGAAAATAAAAAGTACCTCAGGTATTTAGTGTAGTCTCAGTGTCTTTGCATTGCCTCCTTTAAAAATGCTGGGGGAAAATCATTTGTGCGGTTGTTAATCCACTACACTGACGCTTTATCAGATAGATTCCACGAGCTGGATTCACTGGTCAGATGAACTACAAATGTAACATAAATAAAAATTAGAAACAGATTATTATTGTTTGCTGGTGTGGACAAATTTCGCTGTCATTATATTTGCTGTTATTGT